GTTTACACGAGTTGTTTCCACCTTCTTCCCAGTTGTAGTTGTCTGTTGGATCGTGGGCTCTTATAAAGTTAGCTACCGCGAATATTGAATAGAAGAAACTAGCTTGGGTGCCATCGTACAGACTCAGCTCACAAAAAAACCCAGAAAAAAACGGTCAGAATCTCCGTCTTGCCGTATCTTCTTGGGCACAGGTGTAGTCTCGTCCGGCATTTTTACATACTTTTTATACAGGACAAGATTAATATAATATATAGCCTTCCTTAGATTGTTGAACACTGTTTCAGTCAATCTTCCAAAGATCCGCGCCAAATATGTTTGTGATAACCATTGTCCTGCGAATGTCAAATACGTATACATGAATATTCCGTCAGGTTTATAATGCTCCTTGATCTCTGCCACGAGGGCTTCAAACACTGCAAGTAGCATTCGCAGACATTGCCTGTACAGTCGAGGACTAAGACTGTTCATAACAGACTTTAGATCTTCGAGTCCTCTGAGATAGATTTCGTTATACACATTCACCCGGTGACCTTCCGGACCGTGCTGACTATACATATCGGTTACACAATCTCCAATTGCCAGCAGTGTGGCGGTAGTGTTACTCATGAGCATTGTCAACATTGAAAGTACCTTGATACTACGTTGACGGTGTGCCTCCGCATTGCACTCGCCACATTCCCCGGTACATACTTCTTCGTATTCGCACATATTGGTGTTGTGAACTTGTAATGGAATGCTCAAAGTGTTTATCAACACGGCATCAATTTTCATGATAAAACCCTTGTTTACGCGCGAAAGTTTGAGTAACTTTAAAAATAGAACATAATTTCTTCTCTCCGAAATGAAAATGTGGGTCACTCCTCATTTTCATTTCCAGAATGATATTCTCAAAAATCGCATTCTGGGAACAATGCCGAATTGCCAAAAACAAAGATTTTCAAGTTGCCAAATGCGACAATGTTGGAAATTCTCGGAGAAATTCTCGTTGAGATTTCCAACAACCTCCCCTAGAATTTCAACGAATTTTAACATCACATGAACTTCAGCATGTGAAATGAAAATTCTGGGGATTTGTTTTGTAATTACATTCTGGTTTACTCTTTGCAAAATATATCTCCTACAATTTGAATAAGTTGGCAAAAGCTGCCTTACATTAGGCTATGCTATTATACCTGATGGTGAGTTGGTGTATCAACACTTTTAAACCACCAGCCTCCCGGAGTCCAGGACTCCACTACCAGCAGAGTCCTCAGTCCAGGGAGGCAAGTCGCCAGACAGCCTGAGACAGGCCTTGCAAATTTCTGAATTCCGAGGGCAGGCAACTGCCCTGCAGGCTACAATCTACAATGTCACTCTACCTTTTGATATAAATAGAGTATCAATCTAACAGAGAGTCTATAGAGGGACTTATAGATGTCGGCATCAACTTTGTCTCTTGTTAAAAACTACTCCCGCATACGATACCTCGAATTTCTCGTACTCTGGGAATCTGGAATCAGCGGTCCGAGAGACCGATCCCATTTTTTTAAAGGCGCCTTGTATTGTTCATAGCCTTCAGAAAAAATAAAATAGAATATCAGAACTTCAGCAGACTATGAGTTGTTGTATTTATGTTTGTTACTCTCTGCCCTTTGCTGCTGGTATTAAAACTGGGAGTGGGCGACTGGAGTGGACGGTGGTCGTCTGGGCGCCCGCGTGCTGATTGCTGACAGCCTGACAGACCAGTCGGGCTGTCGGCTATTACTCTCTTCTTGGCAGCCTGCTAAATCAGTCATCAATACATCACGTCAGGGCAGGTGGCACTTGTGTAGTTTACGTACTTCTCGATAATTATATTTTACATTTATTTATCCGGTCATAGAACTTGCATCGTCTCACTTCTCAGTAAATATTATATTGTGCTTCTGTTTTTATAAAAAAATGTCTCGCCTTTTAGAAAAAAAACCGTATTTTTGTACAATTTAGGAGGCTATTTATTTATGACAATTGTTGTCGAATTTAAATTTTTTTTTTTGGGTTTTTAAAAACAATTAAAAACGTACTACTTTTGAGGTTTTTGTCTCTGGTCACTCTGCTGGTCAGCGACTCAGCTAGTGCCTTGAGTTCTTGACTCCTTAACTCTTTGACTCCTTGTGAGTCTTGTCCGTCTTGTCACTGTGCCCGTGGACTTGGCTGTAGACTGTAGACTGTGGAGTGTGGAGTGTAGAGTGAGGTGTTTTACTAACTCTATTTTTAAGTTATTGGCGCGGAGGTGCCAGTGGTGTCTACTCTACTACTACTAGTGTGCTCCACTGTTCCTTCGGACAATAGTCCGATCAGAAGGACAAATAGTCCGATCAGGCAGATTATTTTATTTCTTCTCTAGGGTCATGAAAATTCTTGACGATTTCTCTGTGAACAGTTCGACTGGTTTGGCTCCCCCCCCATAGTTACTGCTGTTTTCTTGCCGAGAGGGCTCCAGGTCTACGGCTTCCACTGTAGCGCGAGAGAATCTATCACGCTTAGTACCAACTTACTTGTGCTAAAAATGCCCAGAACTTGAAGACAAAAACAATCACAATAGTGAAATATAGCCTCCTTATCTAAAAGTCTGAACAGGCTCCTGGAGTCCTGGAGTCCTGTGTCCTGACTCCTAAGTTCTAACTCAGCGTGCGAAGCTGCGAATACTATAAAAACCGCCATCACTATTGTTCAACTATCACAAAAAAATGTATTCATCTATGATCCAAACGTTAACAGTAGCGGCTTCCCTAGCTGCATACTCAGTCGATGCAACTGCAATTCGACGAAGTGTGAACAAGCTAACACAGGGTACCACCTGGACACTCGAGGCATGGGGATATGAAGACACCAGTAATGGCTACATGATTGACATCGATCTACAGACGAAGTCAAAGGACTATGTCAAGTCTCTTGTAGACGGAGGACAGTACGTGGTGTGCTATTTCAGTGCCGGTACTGCCGAGGATTGGAGACCAGACTATCTCGATATGATGGAGTATGCTTCAAAAGATAGCCGATACCCCGGAGAGTACTGGATGGATATCACACAGTGGAAGAGCTTCAAGCACTTAATCAAGGCCAGAATGGAGGAGGCAGTTAAAAAGGGATGTCACGGAATAGAACCGGACAATACCGACGCATACGAATATGGTAGTGACGCCGTACCGGGCGAAACCAAAGACAGTTTAAAGCCGTATCAGATTGAATACATGCGTTGGATGGCAAATACCGCCCACGAATTGGGTCTCGAGATTGCACAGAAGAACACCGTTGATTTGATCCCTGATCTGATTGACGTTATGGACTACGCGATCAACGAGTCTTGTGCAAAGTTCTCAAAGAACGCATACTGCAGCAATTATGAAGCATTTGTGAAGCAGGATAAGGCCGTGTTCGGGGTTGAATATAACACTAACGGTGATTGCAGTGATGCACAGGCTGAAGGAATCATGCGAAAGTACAAACACTCAAATGGCAAGCAATGGGTGGATTGCAAAATTAGTACGAACTAGACTGCCACCACCATTTTGTGCCACACTGCACTCGACAGCGTGACGCACAATCTGAATATATATATATATATATATATTTATATAAAATAAAAAAGCATTATATATATCTGCCCAGAATCAATGAAGTTTTCTCGATATTGTACATGATAGTGCTATACTTGAGCTTAGCTCAAATCACCTGCTAGATTGCAAGGTAGTCATGTCAGTCCTGATTTAAAGGACATTTGATATACGAAATATGATAGAGTCCAGCTATTGCAGCACCCAATTATCGCAATGGGTGAAGACACATTGAACAAGTAAGTGAGAATTGGCTAGTCCAGCAGGACAATTTAATTATCAACAGACATTGTGATCACATGTGAAGCTACTGCACGTTGTCAGCGACGGGAGAGTGCGACTCATGTGGTTGATAGTCCGGAGGTTTGAAGTATGTGATGCCCAGCAGAACATCGCTGTCACTCATATCATCTAATGCTAATGTCTCTCGTCGGATGTATCTCACCAGAGCTTCCAATTCTTGTATCGGGACGTCCGGTCGACAGTCATACATATTCCTGTCGTTAAAGGAAAGGTCTGAGTATTGAACACATTCTAAGCTGAGCTGCTTGCTGAGATACACCATGACACCTGAGACGGCACCGCTACACACAGTGCACAAGCAACTGAACTATCACAATTTATCATCAGAATTAAGCATGCCAAAAATAGAATTTGGTTATGGAATGCACTACCAAGAGGATACACTCATTCACTAACTGAACAAATATGAATGAGTGTTAAGCTTGCGCGCACATTGGGACAGGAATGCAAACGGCCACATGCGCAGGCGAAACCAACGTTGCATCACACCAAACAGCAGCATGCGAAGACTTGCAGACTGTGCGAAACCCACAAGGATTACGATACACAAAAAACATGGGGAGACTCATACCTCCAGAGAGCAGCAGCCAAAACCGAATCCTCGTAGAGAAGCCCTTCATCGTACGCAACAGTAAATCCCCAGAATATCTCCACCAGCTGTTTAATCCGCCTACCTACTTCCATAGCATCGGTAACCTGCAATGGAGCAGTAGTGCAATTGAGTCTACCACGAGGAACACTGTGACTGTGGGAATCAATCGGGAGCAGCGCAAGCCAAAGCGTGATACATATGGGTGTTAAGTGTGTGTGCTTATATGAGCAGATGCTTCTGCCTATACAAGAGGGCCAATCCTTGTACGGGTGCGTTCAGTCACACCCAGGTGATACGCAGTTGGTCATTGATCAATTGGCGGGTCAGCTTTAAGTTCAGAGATTAGTATGGGTAGTGATAACACATGCGAAATACTCGTGCTGAGGATAGTTTGTTGACTACTCAACGCTGAAAGCCACGTTTTCACTAAGTGAGACAATCAAAGATCAAGCGAGCAGCCACCCGCGCAAGTACACCTGAACTCTACACATGTGCATGCACGCACCTATGCGTAGAACCTTGCAGGAACATACTACGAACAAGAATGTCCTCGAGAGATTCGCAGAGCTCCATGCATTTACATACTTCCGCAGCTACGTGACGGCTACTACTATACCCCACAAATATGCTCACAGTATAGGTATACGCTTGAAGTTCTTTCCTCCCAGATAAGTGTACATGACTAATAGTTTGATGGTTCAACATGCACAAGCGACAGCCACATAAGTACGAGTCCGTAGGTACGATTTGCCACAATGTCACCACGCGCATACGTACCCCCATAGCGTATATACGCGCAGAGATGTCCTCCTGGAAGCACTCATACAGATCTTTGTTGAGATTCTTAACATAGTGGGGGTCGTCGAGATGTGCATTTCTGCACATGCACATCCACACGTGCAGGTGTGTGACGGAAAACCAACTCATCAGCGTATCTGAAAGTTTAAAGTCTATGACGCATGGTCGTGTGTAAGTAAATATTTTTGGGTGGAGTAGATAGTCAAGTTGATCATATCCAGAGAATCGTACACAACTAGAGTGATAGAGTCATACACCAAGACTGTCCCAAACTGGTCGGCGAGTGCACCGCCTGCTGCACAGCAGATACGATGACGATGGAGAACACAGCGGCAGCTCAACATTAGACACAATAACACCAATATAACACCGTTGATCACAGGCCATCGAACTCTTGCGAGTAATCGATA